GTTCCACCGGGCTCTATCAGACTAGCAAACCGGGTCCCTTTTTTTTTTTATGATTTTGAGTTTTGTTCCACATTGTTCTCCCACTCCATCCAGGATTTCCTACCTAGATCCCCCTGACAGTGGGCACCATCTAATTCTTCTGGTCTCATAATCATATAGGCCGAGGATCGCATGCTGTACCAGTCCCATGGACTAATTATTTCAATGCATCTTTGGTTTTCTTCATTCTTCTTTACTCTGGAAGAGGAGAGACCCATCGTTACATCTGGATAGCTGCTTGCAACCTTTTAAGATCCCAGTCACTATTTGCCAAAGTAGGATGTGGAGCATTGTTTTTGTGTAGTAAGTTATGGCAATTGAGCTTGATGTCCCCTGCGACCATAGTCCCGAGCCCACAGGTCCAACTACTTGCTCCCTCTGGGTAGCTGGCTGTAGCCAAGAAGTGACTGTAACCTTGTTCCTTGTCAGCTCTACTATATACCTGGGAATTCTTACAGAACATACAAATACACTTGTAGAAACATTGTCTGCCAATCCTATACGTGGTTATGGGCACAACCCCCCCTGCATAGATAATACCTAATAGTTCAGCCTGTCCACCCATCTGTCTACCCATAGATCAATGTTTGCCATCATTGACAATGCAATACTTTTCATGCAAAAGGGTTCATCTTTGTTGTCTGTATCTCCATGCTTCTCTCTCTGTCTTCCTCTTCTGTCTTCCTCTTCCTCAGTGCCACCGTGTTGATCACTCACATTTGGTACATTGCCCTTCCCTTCACCCAAATCAGTACTTGTCTCTGTCTGTCTAGCATTGTTTCCTCCCCTCCCTTCCCACCCCTGGTTACCAACAAAGAAAATTTCCTCCCATATATAAACCTTTCCTTGACTTTTTACAATAATAGAGTATAAAATATTTGTCCTTCTGTGATTGATTAGTATCACTCAGTGTAATGTCCTCTTAAGTTCATCCATGTTATGTGATGTTTTGCTGATTCTACATTATTCTTTAGGGTTGCATAGTATTCCATTGTGTGTATGTACCATACTTTGGTTATTCATTCTTCTGTTCATGGGCACCTAGGTTGTTTCCATCTTTTTGCTATTGTAAATAGTGCTGTGATGAACATGGATGGCATATATCTAAATGTCAGTTTTCTTGCTTTTCACTGTATGGTTTTAAGTTTATTGAAGTCAGACGACTTATCATGTAACTAAGGAATGTATTTTGATCAATTGGAGAACTAATCAATTGGATCTCATGCCTTTTAGCCTTTTTCAGTTGCGCCTCTTCTCCTTGGTGGTCTTCTTAAGCAACAGACTATTCAACAAGACAGTCTACCTGCAGTCTGCTCTGAGTAGCTCAACCTCTGCAGAGAAGTTCCCTTCACCACATCCATCTCCTGCCAAACTGAAGGCTGCTGCAGGCCACTGACTTCACCTGCCATCCACAGGGGATGAGTGGGATTGGAAGGAGGGTGTGGCAACTCTTTTCCCTTTTCACTTCCGCTTACCCTGGGGAAGGCAGGACCCACTCTGCCAAGGCCATTTGCATATTCCCTTCTCTCTAAGGAGTTGGAATTTTGTCTCTGGCGCACTTAGGCAGAAACTTCCTGACACCAGTATGTGAATTTTAAACACAGTGAGTCTGGAAGGACCATGAATTTTTCTGTAGCTTTTTTCTAGCATTTGCTGGACCCTGTGCCTGGACTGATTTGAATATTTTGTTTTCTTCCTGTGCCATTTACCCTCCCACTTCCCCTTCCTGCCTTCCACCCTTGGATGAGTGGATTTTGTAAATCTAACTTGTAATTTGTGGATTTGTTATTATTTTTGTTTTTTTGTGAAGCACACACATTGGATGTGGCTGGTGAAGGAGTATCTCTGTTGCTCCTGGTCACTCCCTTTATAGCCATCACTGTCTTGTTTTTTTGTAACTCAGGTTAGGATTTGTTCTCTCTTGTTCCGCTGCAAAAACAAAGAAAAAAAATGATACTGAAGAGGTGAGACTGGAGGAAAGACCTCACAGCCAGACCTGTTGGGGTTTTAGGAGTGATTTTGTTAATTTCTCCTTGAAGGGGAAAGGATTTCTTCACTGGTACGTAAAGTACCCCAGCTACGGGGAGTTACCAATTCTGGACAAGTGCCACTGCAACAGAATGCTCAGAGAACCTGAACTTTAATGGAGGACTGAAATTTACTATTGGCCATTGCCGGATTTGTCTGGTGTTTCAAAGGAATATTGGGTGCTGCAAATAGGAACTAAAGGGGTAAATTTATTAAACCCATTGAACCTGTGATTTACTGGCTTTTTTCCTGTCATTTTAATAGACTAAATATGGGGTGGGGGGAAAGGATATAAAAACATTTGTATAGTTTACTACCACAATTAAACATCAGCTGGTTTCCCACAAAGTGTATAATGCTTGAATTTACAAATCATGGCTTGAAGAAATGTATTCGTAGAACGTATCTTGGATGATTTAAGCATAATTTTGGGAGATTAGCCTGAGGAAGTTTGGAAAATATTTTTATCTTGTGTAAGAACTTGGGGTTGATGAATTAATACTTGTTTCCAAATCTCAACCATATATTTATAAAGGGAGAGAGAGAATTCTACATTTCAATGTACTGAACATTCTGATTAAGCAAAGGAAAAGTTAGATATTTGGTTAACAGAAACCTTTACTATGTGTAAGGCAAAATAAGGAATTAAAAATGGTTGTGTGTTGACTGAAGGAGGGCATCTCAGGTTTAATAATTTTCAGCATGTGCACAGTAAGTTGTGAAGTATTTAGTTTAAAAGAAAATTTATTTTCTGTGACTTCCTTGATCAATGACAGTAGTATTACAGAGAACTACTTACTCTGGCGGTTGTTTTGGAGGAGACCTAAATATTTCATCAGCTTGTAGCTTATCAGAGATTGCCTTATTTAAGCTTATTTTTTTCCTAGTTGCAATGCTTTTGCTGGCTGAACTCTGTACCAACTAGAAGCTTCTCAGCTTCTTCTAGGAGGAGATGGGATGATGAATGGATGAAGATATGTGGTTTTGAAATCAGCATAATGCCTAGGTATAGAAAATGATTAAAAAGTAGTGTAATTGAGAGACCAGGCCTGAAGAAAGGCCAGATTAGGCCTGTCTGCAGTGATAGAAATCTGGTAATATACTAAAATGTAATCTATAGACAAAAAAAACCTTTTTCTGCCTTTTCACTAGGGTATGGACACAGATAGCAGTGATTAGGAAATTGGGATCAAAGGAGGTGAGGCTCTGTTGTTGCCAAGTTCAGAAAGATAAAATGCCAAGTCCAAGAGTAACTAACAATTAGCAACTGAAAGTAAGGGAGACTAGGGTCACTAAAAATGGAAATTAAAGACCTTGAGTTCTAATCACATAACCAGTAGGATCTGAGGAATCATATTCACAAAAGTTGTTTCCAAGGATAAATATGGCTTGGACAGATATATGTGAATCAAAATAGTACTCTTAATCTTTAGGTCTGGGTTGCTCATTATAGGAACTGTCTTGGGAATTAGAAAGTAGATTCTTCAGACTTGAATACGTGAAGTCTACTAGAACCCTTTAAATGGATAGATTATGTTCTGGCTTGTGTAACTGTTCTGCACTTAAGGGCTAAAATAAAGTTTAATTTTTAAGGTGAATAGTGACAAACTGGAACAAACCAAGAAGAGGGCAACTTAATGATTATTTGTAAGTCACCTTAAAGAAATTGTTGGTGGCCTGAAAAAGCGTAACTGGTTATCTTCAGTGTCTGCTCATTTTTCTATCCACTTATTCTCTGATTATAAAGGAATATATTTATTCAGGTTCTATAATTGTGTTTACCCCTCATTTTGGTGAGACTGCTCCGACCCAGGTTATCAGTAATGGAATGGAATGGACCGTTTTATCTTGCGGTTCACTGGTTGAGTCTCCTCAGTGTCACTTTTGTGACATTTCATTTTTTATTTAAGGTAATGCTCCCATTAACTTAATCCTTCTGTGCTATACCACCCAAAGATTCTAAAAGGATGCCAGCTTCAGTTCGGTGTAACTTTGGTCTTCATCAGGGGGAAAGCCTGAAAACCATGTTGTTAGGTGCCGTCCGATCGGTTCCAACTCTGACCCTACATACAACAGAATGAAACACTGGTCATGCACCATCTGTACAAATGTTGCCATACTTGAGCCCATCGTCATAGTCACTATGTCAATTCATCATTGTTGAGGGTCTCCCCCTTTTTTGCTGACTATCTGCTTTACCAAGCATGATACCCTCTGGGTACTGGTTCCTTCTGACAATATGACAGAAGTATAAGATGCGAAGTCTGACCATTCTTTCTCCTAAGGAGCATTCTGGCTGTATTTCCTCCAAGACAGATTTGTTTTTCTAGTGGGCCACTGGTCTATGGTACATTGAATATTCTTCATCAACACCACAACTCAAAAGCATCAATGTATGGAAGCCATACATCAATGAAATATTTTGGAGTGACCTCAAGTAGCAAGTCCATAGAATTACTAAAGATTTAAGTGGAGAAGAGGCTCCTTAACTGTAGCAAGTGTTGTCTAATAGCAAAGTTTATGGAAATAAATGAGATGACATAAAAGTAACACTTAGGAGGCAATAAAATGGAGGAAATCAATATAGAGCAAAATGACCAAGACATGGAAAATTAAGAATCAAACTGAAAAATTATTAGAAAAATTACCTTCAAAGGAATTTGACTCTGATTGGTGTTAAACTTCTAATGAGCAGTAGAATGATAGAAGATAAAACTTGCATTGCATTGAAAGTTCTTTTCATGTGTACTCCTATATATGGGGATGGTCCAGTTTAGTTCCATAATCCTAAACTAACTGTACTGTTAATTAAGGACAAAATAAAGACATTGTCAGTCATTCAAAGGCATTGTTTACTTCCCATTCAGCTTTTCTGAAAATACTGAAAAGTCTGTCAAAATGAAAAACCCAAGAAAGAGGAAGAGATGTAATTTAAAACACAAAATTCCAACCAAACAACTTAACAATGGAATCCAGAGGAGGTTAAGAAGAAATCATATAATACAACTTTGCAGGATGCTTAGAAAATCAGACTCAGCAGCATATCTTCAAGTAGATAATAGATATTTCTGTTCTGGAGTGCTACAGATGAGATGAAAATGTGTTTCTTTTGGTTTATGATATAAAAGAAAGGTAAGTAGACACTCCAGCAATGACCAGTATAAAAAAGTCATGATTCAAATAGAGCAGCTACACAGGAAAGAAGGACATGGGGAAGAGATAACTAACTACAGGGAGGAAATGGGAAGAGAGCTGTTACATTGTGGGGAATTGCAGTCAGTGTTGTGAAACGGTGTATTAATTGCTTAATGGAAAATGAATGCTCTGTAAACTTTCACCCAAATCACAGTAAAAATGAAAAAAATAAAGCAATTAATGGAATATTAAAAACATGCTTTCTGAATCAGGTTAAAAGTTGTGATCAGGAGGAAACAGGACTAAGCGCTGGTACTGAATTCAAGTATAATTTCCAGCTTTGTAGTAACTAAAATTTTTTCTTATGCCTTTGTTTTCTAGGAAATAACGTTTTTCTTAAAAGATAAGCCTGTCCCTACCAGTAAAAGTAGGTTCAGGGTTTTTTTTTTTTTTTTTTTTTAAATACTGCATTTTTGGTGGAAGTGTTCACAGCAGGACATGTTCCCATTCAGCCTTTTCTACACATAATGTTCAGGTACATTCCTCACATTCTGTCAACATTCTCCTTTCCATTCTAGTTGTTCCATTCCCATTAATTGTGTAGTCTCACTGCTTCTGAGCTGCCTCAGCTGTGCATTAGAGCAGAGTCTCTCATAAATAATTTTTTTTAAAAAGCACAGTACTCAAGGGTGACATGTTTTACTTTTTCAGCTAACCTACTATTAGGTAACACACATGAGTCAGGGCTGACTCAATGGCAAACAACAACAACAACAACTATTAGATAAAGGTGACTTAAGGGCATAGTTTTGGTTCAATTTAATTAGTATCTCAGGGCTATAGCCTTGGATTCCTCTAGTCTCAGTGGGTTCACTAAGTCTGGATTCTTTGAGAATTTGAAGGTCTAGTCCTTCTTTTTCTCTATCATGGTCCGTATAGTGTGACCTTGCTCAGAATGTTTGGTATTGGTTGTCAGACACTATCTAGTTCTGGTAGAGGAGGCTGGGTTCATGGAGATTAGTGCTGTAGTTTGGTTCCTTCTTTGATTCTTTGGTTTACTTCTTTCTCTTTTAATCCAGATAAATAAAGACCAATTTATTTATTAACTGTATTATGTGAATTGACTGAAATATTCCACAAGACTATGACCCTAAGCCTTCCAGAAAACTATTCCTGTGGGATGACTGGTTATGTCTACTAAAGTAAAGGCATCTGAAACTTCTATTTGAATGAAAAAAAATATATATCTATAAACCAAACCAAACCAAAACATACTACCATTGAGTCGATTCCCACTCAGAAACCCCCATTGGGTTTCTGAGACAGTAAATCTTTACGGAAGTAGATTGTCTGGTCTTCTCTTCACAGAGTGGCTGGTGGGTTTGAACTGCCAGACTTCTGGTTAGCAGTCAAATGCCTTAGGTACTGTGCCAGCAGAACTCCTAGAAAATGTGGTTATTGCAAAATAACTGCATTTAATGCATCCTTTTTGTGTATAAGAGTGGCATTAATTTCATTAGTCAAACTCTGCATACCAACATACAGTGCTACCTTTTCCACAAGTGCAACCCAAAAGTGATTACTGTCTAGGGAATGATTCCCCCTTGTGACAGTTAAGGTTGTGTATCTACTTGGCTGGACCATGATTTAAAGTGGTTTAGCTGTTATGGTATAGTTGTCCCTCATGATGAGATCTGCTGTAAGTAGTCAATCAGAAATTTCCTCTAGGGTATAGCCTACTTCCAATATGTATGGAAATGTTCTGTCAAAACTCTGGCTTTTTGCTTGAGATCCTGCGTCTAGCTCACCATCATCTAGACTTGAACCAGTGGCTTGCCATATTGCTTGCCAATCTTGGGATTGTTGCCTTTGCAGCCTGTGAGCTGCCATTTTACATGCTGATCTTGGGTTTGTCACCTCTTGCAGCTGCATGAGTTAGGAGAGGCCTCCAGCTTGAAATCTGACCAACAGTCTTGAGACTTGCCAGCCTCTACACCTGCATGAGCCATTTCTCTCTCTCTCTCTCTCTCTCTCTCTCTCTCTATATATATATATATAAAACGACCCCTCCTTGGGTTTCTGAAGTGGTATCACTACGGAAGTAGATTGCCCAATCTTCCTTCCAAGGAGTGACTGGTGGGTTTGAACTGCCAGCCTTCTGGTTAGTAGTCAAATGCCTTAGGCACTGCGCTACCATAGCTCCTATATATAAACTTC